AACTTTGGGACAAAACCTGGCTATGGCACTTATTAGCTCTGTGACTTTGAGTAAATACTCAGATTCTGTGAGCCGTGGTTTCCTCCTGCAAAATAAGTAAGTACAATACTAGTATCTACCTCAGAGAATCATGCTGATGAGTAAATGAAATAATGTATATACAATGCTTAGTACCGTGCCTGGTACATAGTGGCTCAATCAATATTATCTGTTATATTGTTATGCTAAATATGTAAAAGGAATTACAGCAACATATCATCTAAAATCAGAATAACGTGACCTTTCAAGTACCATAAACCTAATTAAGCAGATGATTGACATAAGGTCACATGGTGTTTCATATTTAGGACCTAGTAGGAATCCAGAGCCAGGGACTTTAGAAGAGCTCTGAAATGGGATCATTACCTATGATAACCAGAAAACTCAAGGGTAGGTTCTTTCAATCATGATACCTGATTGAGATCCAAAATATAAATGGTAGAAACAGGAGTTGTGAAAAAAAAATACATATGCATATTCAGGAAGTTCAGAGAATTGTTCTGACCCAATTTGAAATCAACTCCTGAGATTGCTACCTATACAGAGGCTGGTTAGATAGATCCTGGAAGGGCCTAGTATGTGTCAGATACCATCCTGGGCTTTGACGACATAGACTCAGGCCCTGCCCTCATGAGGCTTACAGTTTCTAGGGAGAACTGATGTTGAAATAGGCTGGGCACTGTGGCTCATGCCTGTAATCCCAACAGTTTGGGAGGCTGAGGTGTGTGGATCACTTGAAGTGAGGAGTTCGGGACCAGCTTGGCCAATATTGTGAAACCCCATCTCTACTAAAAAATACAAAAAATTAGCTGGGCCTGGTGGCGTGTCCCTGTAATCCCAGCTACTGAGGAGGCTGAGGCAGGAGAACCTGGAAAGCGGAGGTTGCAGTGAGCCGAGATCATACCACTGCCCATGTGCTACAGCCTAGGTGACAGAGTGGGACTCCATCTCAAAAAAAATAAAAAAATAAAAATAAAAGAAAATTGAAGTATATCTTTAGAAGGATCATTCTGGATATTGCAGCCCATGTGTGGAAACTGCCCCAAATTCAGAGTCATGTCACTCCATTCTAAACTCACGGCAGCACCAAGTGGTTCTGTCAGAAGAGGAGCCACAGTTATGAAAGGTGGTAGTCCCCATGGTGTCCATGGAATTCTTTCCAGCAAGCTTCCCCAAATGAACTGTAACCTGGATCATAAGTTCTTCCTAGAAAGTAAGTCAGCCTGACAGCATACCAGGTCAGAAACAAATGCTTCATATTTTAAGTGGAAATCTGTGGTGTGACACAATGACACATGTATCACACGCTGTCAATTTGTTCATTTCCTGTAACTGACATGCACAGTGCAACTTTCTTAAATTAATCCTAATTTTTAGACACTATCTACCCGAATCTACATGACATTGCCTTTAGTACAATTGTACAAATGGTGGATTTCAAGTTCTTTGAAACAAAGATTAGTACCTGGAGACTACAAATTAAACTCCTTTAAAAGTAATTCAAGTCAAAAATCTCACTTTAGAAAATCTGAAAATCAGCATTTCTATAAAACGAATCCTTCTTAAAAACAATTTCTGGTTTTATCTCAATGGATTGAGTCATGGAATCTCAGTTTTGATCCTTTCCTGTCAGAAAAGATGGCTTTCTGTTGGTCCATGGGTTCTCCCAGTAGGTTCCTTTTGGTTGGGGTTTTGTGACTAGGGGAAATTGGTGAGGCACTGGCAGGGACAGGGGAGGCAGTCAGAATGGGAGAAGTCAACAGAGGGAGAAGAATCAGAGGGAGAGAAGGTTGTGCCTGCAGTTTCTAAAATATTCGGTTTAACTGAGAGTTCTGAAACTGGGGCCTGAGGTGGGTTTTGCTAGGTAAGAAAGGAGCTTTTCCAGCCAAAACAAGGGCATTAGGCTGGTGAGGAGGAATATTCCATCTTAGCTAAGATGCCGTAGTGAGTGGAATGAGAGGGAAGCAACTGAATCCCCACCACAGGCTAGATGACAGCTAGATGATCCCAGTATGACAGCAGCAGTGGGCCCTCCCTCCAGATAGCCTTTTTATTTCCTCTTGCTACTGTCCTCCATGCAAAGTGCTTTCTCCTCCCTCCTGCTAGCTTTTGGTGGAGGAAGCATGGCTTGGATCCAGCATCCTGCCCGAATATTTGAGGATTCATTGAAGAGCTGAGTTCTTGGGCCCCTGGCCCCATCACAGCCAGAGATGCACAGAGTGAGGAGGAAGGGGAAAAACACACCTTGGATCAGAGAAGACAAAGCTTCTATCTTGCCCAGTAGCTGATGCTCAGTGAGCAGGTGCCAGGCCCGGGCCAAGAGACCTCAGGGACAGCCTGGCCCCTTCAGTGTTGCTTGTCTTAGCCTCATCTCTGTTTGAGGAGCGTGGCTAGGAAGTGGGAGTTCCTTCTACCCAACTCAACCTTCCTGCTTGGTTTTGATCTCAGGAAGGGAAAGCCCCTGCCCCTCTTTTGAAGCAGCAGCTGGCACCGCTTGTCTCTTCTCTCCTTCCCGCAGGCACTTCTGTTCATAGTGCTGCCTCTTGCTGGCTCCTTCTGCTTCTGCTTGGTCCTCCTGCTGATTGGGAAGAAAGTGCACCAGTGGAGTGATGGGGGGCTGGAACTCTTAAAGGGGAAGCTTTATTTCTGTTGAAAATTTGTTTGCTTAGCATACTATTTGTTTTTCTATCTTTCCCCATTAAATACAATTTTGTGAGAAAAGTAAACCAGAAATAAAGTGACCATAATCACCATTTAAATGTTAATTGTAGATGTTCTGGCTTTCCTGTAAGGATTTTCAAGCAGATCAAGTACTAATGCTGGCAACAATCATTAGAAATCAAATCCAATTTGAGGATTTTTTACTGAAGGCATAAAGGTTGTGGGCCACAGATCTGAGCGAGGCCGTCCTTGTTGCTTTAAGGGCTCTCAGAATAGGGCCGAATACTAGAATTCTATGAATAAACAAGGCACAGAGATAATTTGAAAATCCCCAGCACCATTTTTGCCAATAACTGTTTCTCCATAGAGTCTTTTTGACCACCCGAATTTATAGGTAGCCAAATCTACAAGTCACTTTGAGATGTAGTCTCCCCTTGGCTGCCCACTGGTTGATTTTCCATCAATCAACCAGTATCTGTTGAGGACTTGGTCCCATGCAAAGTAAATAGAAATCTAAGCAAAGTCCCACTGGATGCTTGAGTTGCAGAGTTGTTTCTCTATGTTAATGATGTGCTTTTTTCCCCCGCATAAAACAATGTGAAAGAGACCAGACCCTGGGTCCCTTGTAGCTCAAATGCTGAAGTCATTCATGGTTGGAGCTGAGGCACCTTCTACTGGCTTCAGCCCTGGAAGAGCTTCCCAGGTTCTAGGTTCTAATCTGGGATCCCCCTCTAGGGGAAATATCAGAGCTTGAGTATTTTAATGTCTTGGGGCCTCTGTTTCTTCAGGAAAAAAAAAATGAAGTTAAAAGCTATTTGGATGATTTTGGTAATATGAGATAATACTGTAGAAGCATATTCAAATAGAAGGGAGAATGTCAGAGAAGTATGAGCCAGAGGGCTGCTGGGTGTTTCATGGGGAAACTGAGGCCCAGATAAGTGACTTGCTTGGAGTCACACAGAGAGTTACTGGCACCCTGCTCTGTCAGGGTTCAGTCTACTGTCCTTCCCAAGAGAGTTCTAGCCTTAGGATTTGAATAATATGCCAATACTATTCCCTCTGTATAACGATACGAAGAAGGCAAATTAGATGCCTGGGACTCCAGAATGCTCATGTCCTGAAATGCCAGAAACCGGTCCCGCCCCTTCCCACAGGCTTTTCTCTGCAAGGAGGCCAGGGAACCTTTCCCTCCAGGGAATTGGCTAAAGGGATCCACCCCTTCCTGGGGTCCCTTCCTGGACCAGAGGTGAAGGTTGAAGGGAGTAGGAGGCTCTGTTAAACCCTCCACGTGCAGAAAGAGAATTTCAGGCCAGAAGGGAGACGGGCAGCCGGTGCGTGGGATACTGGGCACACACCCAGTGGTTTTCCCATTTCTTAGAGGAAGAGCGTGCAGAAGTCTTTTGCTCAAGGCACCTGGTGACTGTGCGAGGAAAGTGACAGTGGAACCCAGTTTAACAGTGTCCCAACCCCGAACTCAAGGACCACACAAGGGCAGTCATTTGTTCCTATCCTTGCAGCCCACTGAATCCAAGGCCTACAGCTCGCTGACCTACTAGGTGCGCGCCTAAAGGCATGCCTGGATGACCTGGGTGCGGGCACGTGGAGCCATGGGGACGGTGAAGGTGACCGCCTTCTCCTTCCTGGACCCGCATGCTACGCACTACAGACCTGAGGGATGCTCAGGCCCGCAAAAGTTTGTTCCACTACTCGGGGGCTCAAGGAGCTGTGCTTGAGGTGGCAGGGGGCGACCTTCAACCCCAGGGCTGTTTGTGCTGTCTTTTCTAGATCGAAACTAATTCCCAGTGGGGCGGGGGGTGGGCTGGGTTTCAGAGAGGGGTCCCATTCCCCAAGCCAGCGTCCGGGTCCCGCCAGCCCACCTCCTGTATCCCTGCCACGGCCCCTGCGTCCCGGGTCCGGGTCCGCGTCCGGGTCCGGGTCCGGGTCCTCAGCTCTGTGGCCGCTCCCACTAGCTGATTTTGACAGTGGGGGGTGGGAGGGGGTTCCTGAACGGCGGGGGCGGGCACGGCAAGCCCCTGCCAGATCCGGGGATGATAACGTGCCTGCTCCATGTCGCGGCTTCGAGCTGTCCAGGCTCCGCCCCCTGTGAGTGTGTAAGTGTGTGATGCTGCCGCGGCCGCCGCCGCCGCCTGTGCAGCCGCTGCCGTCGCCGCCGCCGCCGCCGCCGCCGCCTGCCGTCGCTGCCGCTGCCGCCGCCGCCGGGCCGCCGCTGCCGCCCCGGCTGCTGCGCCGCGCCGCTGCCTCTGCCCCGGCCGCCCCCGCCGCCGCCGCCGGCCCGCAGCCCGCCAGGCGGGCGGCCCAGCCCGCCTGAGCCCGCAGCGGCTGCCGCCGCAGCGTCGGGGCGCTGGGTGCGCGGGCTACCGCAGACCGAGCGGACCTGAGTGGGCGACCAGGCGCTTGCCCGCCCAGTGCCACTGCCGCCGCTGCCTCTCCGGAGCGCAAGACCAGGCATCTTCAGCGCCCGCCCCTGCTGCCGATGCGGCCCGCACACTTTTAGCTGGGCGGGAGGGCTGGAGAGCCGGGCCGCCGAGAACCGCCAGCGAGCTGTGCCGAGAGTCGCGCCGACCCGCTGCGATCAGGGACAGGCGCCCACCCGCCGCCGCCGCCCGACCGCTATGGATCTATTCGACTTTTTCAGAGACTGGGACTTGGAGCAGCAGTGGTAGGTGTTGATTTTTGCCTTCTCCTTTGATGAGCGAGTCTCCTGGCGAAGTCTGAGGTTTTCGCCTTTGTTAAGAGGAGCTGGAGCTGTCGTGGGGGGCGCCCCGGACTCCCTCCCACTTGCTCTCAGCCACCTCTGGCCCCGGCCGCGCTGACTCCTAGGTCGGATGCCAGGGTGGGGGGAGGTGCGGGAAGAGGGAGGGATGCGGACCCTAAAGCGTCGCTTTGCGCTCCAAGTCTAAAGAGTTGCATTTGGCTCACATCGAATTCGGTGCCGCCCGAGAGCTGAACCTCACGACCTCCCAGGAGCTTTTCTCTCGGAGCGGCTCGCGGGTCTGGCCTCCTTGAGCCCCGGATGCCGCCCGCCCTAAATGCCTCAACTTTCCAGGTGCCCAACGCTCGCGGCCGGCCATGGGGGAAAGGCAACGGCCAGGTGCCGCCGGCCGCCCTCTGCTTCCTTGGTGGCCACCGCCCCCGCTGCCGCCACCTCCATCCCTGCGCTGCGCGGCGCGCACACCTTTCCTTCTGCCGACTAAGCCCAAGTTCCCTGCACTCCTGGGTGGAGCAGCGGCTTTGGGGGCCACCACTCAGGGGACCTTGGTTCGGGGCCGACTTCGGCGCTTGGCTTTCAAGACTGAGGGTTTTCGGAGTTGGCCCCCAAAGTCCGCAGCTCTGATGTCAATGCACATTTAATTACCGGCTGGACCCCCGTCGGCCTCCCACTGGGAGGCAGCCGTACTTTTTTGTAATGGGCATCCAGCTCGGATTCAAAGGTTGAGTCAGCTCTTCACAAAATACCCTAAACTTGTCGCTGAGACATTTTGAAAGATGGTGGAAAGGTGACTGGGGAGCTGGAAAGTTGTTACTGTCTTAGAGATGTGCGTGCGCGTGTGCATAAATACTGATATACATATCTATTAACTTTTCAAAAACTTCACTTACTACAAACATTATCACAGTTTATTTGTCATAGTATTTAAACATATCAGATTCCCCCCGCAGTCTAAGGATTAAGGGAGGGGGCGCAGTGGTAACCGCTTAAAATTGCATTCTTGGTTATTGCCTTTTAAAATGTATTTAGAATGATCTGTAGTACCTACCAATAGTGCAAAATCTTTTGCAATGTTAAACTACTAGCGGCCGTTGGTTATGAATGCTGTGTATTTTTACAAGGATTTCCCCTGTTGATGTGATATTTTAGGCAATTTCCTTCTTTAAAAAAGGGTCATATGCTTAGCCAACAGCTTCATTATGCCAATCATGCCTCCTTTAGTTGCAAATCCAAGATAATCAGAACTTAAATACATTTTATTTTACAGCAATTCCGGATAAATCCTTGAAGCACAAATTATGCTGTATCAGTATTAATCTATAAGACGTTTTTGATACCACGGTTTTATTAGCTGTGTAGAAATACATTGTTACATTAAAAATGCTGTTATTTGAAAGTAAAAATTACAATAAAATTATTGCTCAATTAGATATTATGCTCCTGCACACAGCCTTTACTCTGCTTCACTAATTTATTTTGCAGACAACTGATAACCATAGCACTACTATTTGCATACAATTTGCCTAATATATGGTGTGGGTTACATCGTTAATTTAACAGACATTGTTATAATTAATTTCATGGATATAGTTCAAATGTTAAACATATACAAGGTATTAGGTTTTTAGAAACATTTTTTATATTAATTCCGGTTTAATCTTATGCATATGCAATTGCATATTTAAAGGGGATGGACTCTTTTATGTTTGATTTCTTTAAAAAAAATGATAGGCTCCCTCACCCCTGTGGGAGGCTTTCTTTTTCTTATCATAAGGAAAATGCAAAACCTTTTTTTCCTCCAGATCCCTGACTGAGCCACATCAGTTAAGGAGCATAGACTTGGACACTTCAAGAATATTATGTGAAATACTGATTAATTAGTGTAACGCATCTGCATAAATAAGTCTGTCCTTTCCCTCCGTACATGATCCAGGAAAATTTCTCCTTCTTACTGCTCATGAGTGGCACACTTCGTTATGCATCTCTGTTTATAAACATTTGTAATGTGGTTGTGCTTCTGTGTTTTATACAGCTCCACAGAGAAAAGGAAAATAAATGTGACAATAGTGGATGAACTAAAAAGCTTGACACTGTCTTTTCCCACTTCTCTTTGGAAGTCCAGAGCATGCCAGTTACATATTCATTATATGTTTACGTGCCTTCTTTGGGAGTAAATAGCTACTTAAAGTGATGGCCTCCACTCCCCACACCCCCAACCCCCCAGGAAGGCCAAGAAAGGAAGAAAGACCAGCAAAGTTAATGATCTTATTTACCTTTAATTTATTCTTAACATTCACTTGTGGAGCAGTAAGCTCTGAGCTATCTCTACTGCAACCCTAGATGTCTGACAATAAATGGATCAGGACAGCTTAAAAACGAACTCATTTTCCTAGACATAACATACAAAGGCATATGTGTTATTTGCAAACATTTGACTGTAGCAAACAAAAAGTGTGTGCCCATTTATAAACACACACATTTGTTAGGACAAATGTAAATGGAAAGGATGGAGTACTAATGATGCTGCAGTGTGCATGTTATGGGCAGTGTTTGGGAATGCTCACAAGCCTAATGGAACATACCACTGGATTTCATAAACTGCAAGAATAACTAAATGGGTCATGCTCTGGACTCGATTAAAGGGCCAAAGCTCAAGTTCTTTAAGATTCCTGGATGAATGAGCAATGTTCACCTGAGTTTGAATTTAATATAAACCATTCTGTGAAAGAAAAAAGATGGCACAGATGTCTGTCTGTGTGCATGAAAGACATCACTTGCTCTTAAAGAAAAAGATAAATTAAAAAAAAAAATCAAATTTCTTCATTTAAATCATTCCATAGACTTGTTTTTGGTAACCAAGTAAATGAATTATTGAGGTGACTGAAGATCATGTAATGATGTCATTAATCCCCAGTTAAGAGGGGGGAAAAAAAAGCAAATTCAGAGGGCCTTTCAGTTCTGTAAGTACCTCCCACCCAGTATTGATTAGTTATTGCTTTGTGACAGGCCAAGGTTCTTTGTGGGGATGCTTACCTTTCCTTCATTGGAAGGAAGGAAAGGAAAGAAAATAAAGAAAATACAGAAAGGGACACATTCTTAAAAATAAAAAAAAAAAAAAATGAAAAGAAAACCACCATGATAGCAAAATCAGAACGTTCAAAAGCCTAGTTATAATTGTAAAGTGATTGTGACAGTGGCTGGCTTCTCACTGCAAGGGACAGCATCAATTGTTTGTAGTTTTTATGTGATGTCTCACAAATAGCCTAATTAGAGGCAAGCTTGCAAACGGGCAGTTATACAGGAAGAGACTTAAACTCACTAAACTGTTATATAAATAGAAAGTTCAAAGGTCTGTGTGGGGCTGTCAAGGCTGAGAAGGGGCCATGTGTCGGCCAGGCTTCTCCTCCTAGGGTAAAGGCAGCCCCCAGGGCCTGCCCCAGCAGTCCGAACTGCACTTTCCCGTTTTCCTCGACCTTACGAGGGCGGGGCAGTACTGGAGAAGGGGTGGGGGGCTGCTTTCTAGACAAAAGTGAACTGTTTCAGCTCCAGCCGGGCATGGCCCATGCACTGCAGCAACCCGGCTGCCTCCTCCTGTTCTGTGAGCACAGGTCTTCTGAGGCCTCGTTAGCTACAATCCTCCAGAAGAGCGGAACAGGACTGTTTATGGATGGGAAGGTGTGGAGATGGGGGGACACAATCTTTGCCAACTTGGAGATGCTAGGGCTGTGGTGGGGTAAGGGGAGGGGAAGTCCTGTTTTGAATAAGCCCTAGAGATTCCCAGCATTTCTTGGTCTCTACATCCATCCATTTATCTTTCCCCTTTTCCCTCTGTGGTCTCTTAAAAGGCAGACTGCCTATGGTCTGTTTTCTTTGCTAGTACAGTATGCATTCTCCCGTGTGTTTGAGCATTCATTCAACAAACCATTTGGGGTTGTGTTTCTTAAGGGAATGTGTGGGTAGGAGAAATATAAGTTGGTGAAATTCACTAGTAAGGTCTCCTCCGCAACTCCCCAAACCCTCCAAAGAATGAAAGCTCTCAGTAAATCTTAAGAGGCACATCTATTGGACACTGAAGAAAATTATCTCATGGTAGAAATCAGTTTAATGATAAATGAATTGTTTTGCTAATGATTCAGTCAAGCGTTTAACAACTTTAAAATATACAAATCAAGATAGAAAATGACTGCCTCGAAAATGAATCCATCATTATAGACATAAATGAGATTCCATACATTTAAGCATCCTGTAGATGGATACAAATTATATTGTATTTAAACAGGCTAATTATTATTGAATAGAAATGGTTTTAATGTACTAACCTTTAACATGAAATAAATGCCCATTATTCTTAGCTAAGATTATTTTTGCATGCAAAATTTGCACTTATTTAACACAATTTCAAAACTGTAGAAGTCCAATGAAATGGCCTTCTCTGGAACAATTTAGAGCTTGTAACTGTAGGTCATACCTCAAAGAGGAAAACTGCCATATACTTGATTAGCCTGTCATGTAGACAAAACAATTTTTGCTGCAGTGACTACATTTTTTACTTGTAATTTTGTTTTTCTTTTTCTGATTGCTGTGGGATAAAGAGAGATTTGAAAAACTTGCTTACTGATAAATGGAAAGAAATGTTACTGATGAAAGAACTCAAGACCAAACTTGAAGAAACCTTTTTGAGTGTGTGTGTGTGTGTTGTGCGTGTGTGTGTTTCACCTGTGGTGGAACTCAACATTATCATTGCTACTATAATTTGAATGTTTACTCTGTGCCACAAGCTTGGGCTAAATTCTGTAAGGACTCAATTTCATTTAATCCTTCCAACAACTTTCTGAGATAGGACCTGTTATGATCCCTGTTTTACAGATGAAGCAATGAAATCACACAGGCACTCACTCAGTGATGCAATCCAGGCTTCAGCATAGATGGAGCTGACCCCAGAGCCTGCA